AAGAGGAATGACACCACAGGGAAATAACCAGACACCCCAGAATGTGGGGCATTCCACAGCACACTGACCTGGTCTCCCCAAAGTCAATGCCAAGAAAAACAAAGAGGAGCAGGAGAGGGACCCTAACAAAGTGCATGTGTGATCTTTATTGACTCCTGATTTGAAAGACAGCAATTAAAGACAAGTTGGGGACCCCTAGGGAAATTGGCATTTGAACTAAATATTTTTTAAAGTGGAATGATGGTTAGTTTTCTCAGGTGAGCTAAAGGTATTTATGGTTATGGAGAGTAAATTTTGGTTTATTCTTCTTGGTTGTTTATTAATTTACTTTCTGTATTTTTACATTGAAGAGACCTGACCTTACGTTTAGCCTGAGGGAGAGACCTGGAGAAAGGTAAAGAGCGGATGTGGGAAGATTGCTGAGGAGATGGGAGCCTTCTGGACAGGAGGAAGCCGGATGCAGGAAGTTGAGGGGATCCCACCTGACAGCCCCTATTTCCTCAGTGTCCGGAAGAAGGCAGAGCCCCCTTTGAGACTGAAGACACAGACTGGGGGAGGGGCCTGAGGAGAAAAATAGACAGTATGTGGAGACCACCGAGAGGGTGGTGATCAAAGAATGGCCTAAGGAGCTGCCCAAATGAGGTGGAGACAGGTGTATGTCAAGGCCCCAACCCGTACGTGTGTGGTTGTCTGAGGCTGAGACACTGGGGTGAGAAGGCAGAGTGTGGCTGTGGCAGGACAGGGGAGGTGGAGGCAGGTGGAGAGAGTGTGGTTCCCACCAGGTCCAGGATAGAGGTGAAGACAGGACACCTCAGTGGGGGCTGAAGATGGGCGGGCGTCCAGGGAGGTGAGATCTGGATAAAGTACAGGGCAGTGAGAACCAGGCGGAGGGACAGGGCCCTGGGCAAGCCCCAGCCTCTCTGTTTTCCTGGGAGGAGAGAGCCCCAGGGCCGCTCCAACACTCTGAAGGAGGCTGCGTAGCCCTGCAGCCCTAGTGACTCACCCTCGCATAGCCTCAGAGCATGCGGACTGGAGGCTGAGGCGCAGTGAAAACACAAATGCTACATGCTGCTGACTTTGGGTCGCTCAGAGCTTAAAGTGCAGTGTTCAAGAAATTCAGGTAAAATTCACACAAAAAAAATATGTTAACCTGTTTAAAGTGCATGATTCAGTGGCATTTAATACATCCACAATGTTTCACAAGTCAAGCATTTTTGTCAGCCCCAGAGGAAACCCTTGCCCATTAAGCAGCCACTCTTCCTTCCTCTCTCCCCCTGCCCTTGGCGAACACGAATCTGTGTTTGGCCCCTGGGTTTACAGAGTCTGGGTATCCTGTATAAATGGAGAACAGCGTCGTTATGGATATGAATAATGCACAAGTATTTGTTTCAGTACCTGTTTTCAATTGTTTTGGGAACATACCTAGGAGGAATCGCTGAATTATATGGTAATTCTATGTGATTTCTGGAGGAAACACTGACCTGTCTTCCACAGCGCCTACACCATTTCACATTTTCACTAATACTGTACAAGGATCCCAGTTTCTACATAGCCTCCCCAAAACCTGTCATTTATAGGTTTTATAAAATAGCAATCCCAGTGGGAGTAAAGTGGTATCTCATTGTGGTTTTGATTTGCATCTCCTTAGCGATTAGTGATGTGGAGCATCTTTTCATGGGCTTGCTGGTCATTGTATGTCTTTGGAGAAATGTCTATTCACATCCCTTACCCATTGTTTCATTAGGCTGTCTTTTGATTGAATTGTAAGAGGTTTTCATATATTTCTCATTGCTGGGCCCTTCCTAGATGTATGATTTATGAATACTTTCTCTTGTGCTGTGGCTCTTTTCCTTTCTTGACAGGGTCCTTTGTTGCACAAAAGTTTTTAATTTTGATGAAGCCCAAGTTACCTATTTTTTCTCTTGTCGATTCTGCATTTGATGTTGTATTTCAGAATTCACTGCCAAATCTAAGGAAGACCTAATCCTATAGTTTCTTTTAAGAGTTTTATAGTTTGGGCTCTTATAAAAAGTCTTCAATCTATTTGAGTTAATATTTGTACCTGGTGTGAAGCAGGGGTGAAATACAAAATGTAAATCTATGCATCTTCATTACAGTTTACTATTTGTATATAATAGGCTACTACATCAGATTGTCTATGTAGAAGACCAGGCATTCTCAGATTTAATATTTTCAGTTTATCATTAGCGAGTGACCTCAAGAGGTCGGGACACGTGGACACTGTGCTGTCCCTTTGGCACATATTGGGACAATGAGGCAGGTGTGCAAAACTAAATCACTGAACAGATAAGAGAACCTAGCTGGCCCTGGCTCACCATCTTCTCCTGACATTCCTGGCTCCTCACTGTCATCCTCATCATTCAGATATGTAGGGCTTGAAGCATCACTTAAATTTTTAAAGTTATACTTCACTGCATGGAATGCGCAGGAGTGCTATTAGCATATTTGGATTTTGTGACAAGTTTCAGCACAGCTTCATCCTCGGCATGATTAGACACAAGTTAGATGAACATCCTTTAGGGGTGAAGGAAGGCAGGAAGGGAGGAACTGCACAGGTTTAAGACTGCAATGGGTCGGTCCAAACCTGCTGCTAGTGGCACATGGGAAACTAAAACACGACTCTCCACGCGCCTTCTCCAGAGATGTTAATGAGCGGGTCTGGCTGGGACCCAGGAATCTGTGGGTTTCCAAAGCTCTCCAGGAGCCTCTGTCATTAGCCAGGTTTGGGACCTTGAATCAGATAAGGTTTCTGAAGAAGCGCTCTGTAGAATGGGGAGGTTTATTTTGAGCTGATTTGGGCAGCAAAGCCAGGTCTGAGGGAAAAGCCACAGGGAGGTGGAGCTGGCTCAGGGCGAAGATTTTTCTTGACTTGTCACCCACAAGGCCTTGGCCACCTTGTGACAGACTGAGCCTGGCCCAGGGAGGCGGGGGCCGTGCGTGGGCTCCAGGGGGAGGGCCCTGCACCAGGCAGGGGTCAGGGGATAGAGTTCAGTGAGAGGAGAACACGGGCCACAGGGCCAAATCACTCCCTGTCTAGAGCCAGTGCTCCCTCTGTGCGAGAGCAGACAAGATCTGTGCCTTCTTTGGGCCTCCATTTCCAGGCAGAGAAATCCAGCAAAAACGGTTAGATGGGATCAGTGGTTTGCTTTTTCTCTTCCTTTTCTTTCTTTCACTTTTCCCCTCCTTCCTTGTCTTTCAGTTTCCTAGCAGCAAAACCCTTTATCCAAATGAAATGGTGCAAGCTTCTACATGGAGTCCTCCTCCTGCACCCATTTGTGTTCTCACAAAGCCTCAAACCCCCACGAAACCAGCTGAAACTCCTAGGCTAGCCTCCCTAAGATCACTAGCATCCAGCAGTTCTAAGATGAGGAGGAGCAAAAGACAACTTCTCTTGGAAAGGCCAGAAAAGATCGCAGGCTTTGGGGGCTGGAAAGGGGATCCAGATGAGGAACACCAGGAGCAAAGGCTGCCCTGAAGTTGGACTCTGACTTTATTGCGATTATTCGACTTATAAGTGCCTGTTCTTATGTAATCATTGTTGTCTGCAGTACAGTGATCATTAGCTGACTTGCTCTCTTGCTGATGGAGTGATTTGCTGTGATGTGGAACCTAGGAATTAGCAGGGCCCTGAATTTTCAAGGCTAAAGAGCTAACGAAATGCCGGCCCTGGGCCAAGATGGCTGTGGGGAAAGCTAGACCTAGCGGCCACCTGCTTCTGTGCCCCACCTCAGGGAGACATCCTCTGGATGCATGATGGCTGGTTTATTTTCCATTCAGATGTTCGCTTCTAGACTATAGTTATCTTAAACAGGACAAGTGAAATAGCATCTGATGCTGTTGCCAGGGCAACCTGACAGAAGCCTTCACCCCCAGCTACTGTATATGTAATTTGTCAAAGACAGCTGGCTCACAGAGAGAGGAAAGAGGAGAGGATAGGTTGTTACTTTTGGTCCAGAAGGACTATCTTCTGGTTAAATCATCTTACATAGAACAGGAAAGCAGTGCAACCTATGCAATACAGATTCAGAAGACGGGTTGGCAATGTGAAGAGGGCAAACCTTAAACTTTTCTTTTGTGATATCTGTAAAATAGCTGCATATCAGGGTTTTTAACACCAAGCTGCTTGAAGGCCTAGAGCTGAAAGTCTGCCTTGAAGTGGAGGGAATAGGAGAGAGGGCAAGAAATTCAAGAAAGCAACCAGGCTATTCAAATATGTGAAGATACAGTGAAGCTGGGGGATCTTGACACCTATGAGAGCTCCTCTCTCCCAAACCATAAGCTCTCAGAAGAGCAACTGTTTGCACGGAGCATGGACCAAGATCAATCACCTCATGGTATCAGTGAAAAGACAGGCCCATAAAAGATAGCCCACTCGAGGAGACCCAGTGAGGTAATGGCAGAACTAAGTCTTGTTGCCTGCTGCCCTGTGACCCTTCCACCCAGCTGATGCCTCTCTCCTGTGGACACCAGCTTCTTCTATCTTTGAAAGAAACATAGCTGAACAGCTTTCAAAGTTTGCCCTGTAGAACCAGAGGCCAAGCTGGGAGGTGCCGAGCAACTCCTGCCCTCAAAGGAATGGCTCCCTTTTCATCTATTTTTATATCTATCAGGACCCCACTTAAAATTATTTAAGGAAAAAAAATCTATTACTAGAAAAGTTTGAAGATCATCAATCTGAGGAGGATGGTTGTACAACAACGTGTGAATATACTAAAACCACTGAATCATATGCCTTAATATGGAAAAAAAATTTCATAAAATGTATTTTATATATTATGTATTTATATAAGTTATAATATGTAAATGAGATATTTATTTAAATAAAAAGGTGAAATGCACCTTTAGTCACACAAAGGACGCTAAGTGGTGAGTTGTTCGTAGGGTCAGAAACCAAGCGGGAACGGATGGGAGCAAGGCTGCCCCAGAGGCTCCTTCCACCTGCCCGCCCTCACCCCACAGCCTCCTGGGCGGCTCCTTACTGAGTTGGTGCCGAGGATCTGCAGGTTGGGCTTCTCCGACTCCAGCAGCTTGGCCACCATCTTGAGGAAACTCTCCACGAAGAGGTTGATGCTCTGGCAGTGACAGGCCATGAGCAGCTGGTCCAGCGCCTCCATGGCGATGCACACGTACCTGGGGAAGGCAGCACCGTTCTGTCCGCCCGCCTCACACCCACACCACTCCCACTCCCACCATACGACTGGGGCAACCTGTTTGGCTGTGGAATGACCAACCGGGCACACCAGGATAACGAGGCTCTTCCAATGTTGCCAAAGGTCTGGAGAGCCGTTCCTACAAGCGCCCACTGCAGCCCAGCGCTGAGAATCTGAAGGAACCAGCAGAAAGGGAGCCTAGGGAACAACACACCCAGCTCCTCCTTCATTAGATGAAGACCACGCGGACAGATGAGGGCCACTGCCTCACGTAGATACAAGTGGCAAGGACTGGTGCTCAGGAGAGCAAATGCTGAGTCCAAGCCGGTGAGATCAGACACAACAACTTGATCTAAGCCAGGAAGTGTTTGTTGAGCACCCACTGAGGAAAGGCTCCATCCCAGCAAGTGCGGGGAGGCGGGTGGAGGATGAAGTCCTTCAATTTAAGAAGCCTGAGTCAGATGGATGCAGTAAATAGAGATGCCTCCTCTGAAAGGCTACAAGAAAATCAGGCATGACGTCCCACGGGGTTCCAAAGGAGGAGAGAGATGGCTCTGGTGGGGAGGAGGAGAAGCTGCAGAGGTGGGCCTGAGGGCCAGCCAGCTGCAAAGGCAGTCATGGTGGCTTTTAATGTCTTTTTTTTTAATATCAGATACCATTTCTCAGGTACCCTTGAACTAATCTCTATACGAAGCAACCATAAGAAAAACAGCCTCTCTGCTCTGAAATTTTCCCGTCCACTTTTAGAAAGTGCTTATTTCTATCTATATGAATGGAGTCAACTATTATCAAATTATTATTTAACATTATTAAATAGTTATCTCTGGGAATATTCACAAATGGATCAGGTCAGGTGCAAATACAAAGGCAGCATTGGGGCTTTGAGCTCCTTTGGTGAACTGGAGCTTCATTCCTCCGGCTCTGGGGGACCGGCTGTTCCGGTGGCCACAGCCTTGCCCTTCAGAGGCCCTCACGGTCACAGTCCAGGAAGTCTGCCATGCTCTGCAGACCCATCCGGGCATGTTCGGGTCCATTCTGCAGGTGACTGAAGCCAGCCGAATCCTGCAGGGCTGGGGAAGCAGCCTGGGCTGGGGCCCTTCCAAGCAGGACAGGCTTTCCCTGCAGACAAACCTGGACACATTCTGGCAACCAAAGGGGACGGGGGAAAATGGGGGCAGGCAGAGTGGAATCCTTTTCTCTTAGGAATCATCCCAGTATCCTTCTGCATGAAGGGCTTCACCATTATTTTACAGTGTTTAAATGAGGGAAAGGAAGGGATGGGTGGGGTTTGGCAAGAGAAGAAACTAGAAGGCCTTCTAAATCCAGAGCTTAGATTGCTGCTTCCTTTTCCTGTAAAAAATTCCCAGAAAATCCTGATATGGAAAAAACCATCCTTGGTTAGAAAAAAAAAAAAGAACCAAAAAACTGGCTACTGACTGGGGATGGAAATTTTGATGGAAAGTGAAAGTTATGGTAGAAATAAAACTGAAAAGTAAAGAGATTTAAGGCCTAGAGCTTTGAATACACTACCATTTCTTGCCCCATCTGGGATCTCAATACTAAGGCTGGAAAGACTGTAATTATGAACTTGAAGTTTTCAAAATACCTTAGAAGATGAGAAGTCAACAGGACCTTGGAAGCTCTGAGTCCAGTGCTCTCTCCATTGGCCCTAGCTTACTGTATGTCCAGGTATGTCCCATTGTTAGGCTATACTCCTAACAAGCAGAATAGGGTGATGTCCACTCAACAGGACTAGAGTCAGACAGGTTGGCCCCAGTGAAGATCCGATCTGGGCTCCATGTCTGGAAGGAGTCCAAGGTAGTAGCAGGGCTGGGAAACTGAACTGGCCTGAGTACTTGAAGCAGTTTGGGGCAGGAAGGAGCTGGTGAGCACTAGCCCACAGCAGGGGCCCAAGGAGAAGGCAAGAGCAGTTACAGGCAAGGGCAGCAGGTACGATCAAGGGTCCAGGATGTACTAGCAGAGCTTCCCAGCAGGTGAGGAGGCAGAACCCACAGAATCTGGGGTGGACTGTGGTTCATGGACAGCAACTGATACCAGGAGAGGATATTTGGTAGGTTTCAACAACAGGAACTCGGGGTCAAGGGCCAAGGCAGAAGGTGAGTTATAACAACTGAGGAAAATGCACAGAGGGCCTGGTGCTTAGGCGTGAGGCAAGAATTATCTTGTGTTGAATTCCAGAATTCAAGCTGGCACTGCCTGAACACCCTGTGCTCAGTCAGAAGTGGCCCTAGGGGCCAAGGAGGGCTGAGCCTCCAGGCCAGCAGGAATGAGCATGAATATCTGGGAAGCACACTTGGCCGGAGAGGAAAGGCAGATCCAGGGTCAGAGACGAGGGCCAGCAGGCGGGAGGGCGGCCAGCTTTAGCAGGGCCGGTCATGGCCTAGGAGCACTGGCCTTGACAAACCACAGCCTGTCCTGGGCAGCTGCAGTGTACTCAGCCCCACTCCTGGGAAGAGACCTCTGGGCTTCAGAAGCCCCAAAGTAGGTCGGCCTCAGCCAAGGGAGGGAAGGATGAACTTCCTCATCTAGCAGGAATCTGCAATCTCTCTGTCTTTTTGCTGCTCTGTACATCATTGCACATCAGAGTCTATGCTGATGAAAAAGACCCTGGAATTCGCACTTTATCTTCTCTCTGCCCATATCTGCTTATCACTCCTGATGATAAACACATAATAAGACAGAATTCACATGTACCTGGAATGGGGCAGTAATGCAGGGAGGCAGTGGGGCAGACAAAGTTGGCTCTGCTGCCAGGCCCGACCTAAGGTTTCCTTCCATACAGTCAACCATAAATAAAGGCACATGCATGATGAGCAGGGAGACACAGTCTCTCACGCTGCTTGCATGGGAATATTTTGCTCTTCCAAAGCCACCAGCAGGAAAATAATAATGAAGACTGTGGCACTGTGTAGGGAGAGAGGGAGGGCAAGGAGGGAGAATAGGAGAGCAGATATAACAGATTTTTCTTCTCAAAATGTTTATGATTAAAGCCCTCAGTGAAGCCTTCAAGCCTTTAAAGACTTAGATGTGGCAATGGCTATTTTTAACAGAATGATACCAGTTTTGAATTGCAGTTCTAAGGGCAGTGGAATGATTCTAAGTGGCTCTGCTAGTTACAAGACATTTTTACTGAAAGAACCACCACTGCAGAGAACAGAGATAAAATTAGTATTAAATGTTAATGTTATTGCTAGCATATTAGTTTTAGGTTCAATCTAGGATAAAGTCATTTTTGCTTGCTTGAACATGCTTGACAATATATCAAGGTGATTTATATAATCAATATGCACAGTATATTCATCCCTTTTTACTGAGTGTGCGACCTAATTTTATTATATAGAATGATGATAGAAACGTGTTGTTTTTGGTCTTGCTTTTACCCCAGGGACAGCTCGATTTCAGGTTTGCTGGTGTGTCCTGTAGAGGTATGGACATCTACCCCATCAGCACAGGGCTAACATTTCCACTGTGTTTCTTGCTCCATCTTCCTCCCAGGAGCAAGAGGCCTTGGCAGTTGGTAGGGCTGCTGGGCAGTGGTGGAGGCCCAGGAAAGGGGTCAAGGGGAGAGGACGCCGCAAAGGCCCAGAGGTGCGGGAACCAAAGAGCCAGTTGGTAGGGACCTGGTCTAGAGCAGTCATAGCGGTGTGGTGGGTGTGGCTGGGTGGGATGGCAAGTTGGGGGCGGGTTGTAGAAACTCCAAAAGTCAAACTGAGGAACTTGGATTTTATTCCCAAGGAGCCAGGAAAATCGAGCTTCAGGTCTGTGTGTTGAAGGTGATAGCTGGTGTGATTAACCTGGAAGGACCAGGACAGGAAAGACAGGAAGCAGAGAGACAATTTCCAAGGCGCCTGCCAAAATCTGGAGTCTGCACTAGGAGAAAACTAAAGGCGAGGGAAATGGAGGGTGGATACAGAAGGCTTGGTGGAGAACAGAAGCAAGGGCACTTGGGAACAACTGCCCTCCACCTACCCCTCCGCCCGCCCATCACAAATGCCTCAGGGAAGCCTCAGCTTCTCTTCATGCCCAGCCTTGCTCCGCGGTGCGATCGTAAGGCAGCACACACACTCTGGCTTTCATTGTGAAAGCAACACTCACTCGATAGAGAACATTTAGGAAACCCACAGAAAAGGTACATAGAAAACAAAATAAAGCCAAAAAACCCCAGCTACACTGCTCACAAAATGAGTACTCTTAACATTAACGTATATTTTTTCATATATTTTCTCCTTTTTTTTGCTTTTGGTTCTGCTGTATTTTATAGGCATTGTGATTTATTTTTTAACTCACTTGTAAATACTGAGTGCATAGTTATGTATTCTATTTTTCAATTACTTACAGCCTTTTCCACATTACATGAAAAGCATGTTAATACACACCATTTTTACTGACTACATGACATTTCACCAAGTGATAAACACCATACTTGACTGTTCTCCTCTTGTTGGACATTCAAGTTATTCCTCATTTTCATTATTATAAAAAAACACCATAATGAACATTTCCATGTAATGTTAGATTATATTTAAGATTGATTCCTTGGAAAGATGAATAGAATCAAAGGGCATAAATGTTTTTGAAGCTCTTGACATATTTCAAAATTTCCAAATTTCTAGAAAGGTTCAACCAATTTGCCCGCACTGTAGAAAAAGTATGAAGATGCATTCCATGTTGCCATGTCTGTATGCCATGTTGTCTCATGTTCCATGAATATAAGATTATTGAACATTATCCCATATCTGTAACTAGTTTGTCTCCTCTTCTGTAAGTTGGTTATTTGGGGCCCTTGCCTCAAATCTTTTTTTACTGTCTCAATTTCCCCACTCCATTTACACTATTTGTTATTTGCTACTCATATATGAATTTAAATTCCTTGTCTTATGTTTTAAAAACACTTATTTTGTTGTTTATCTTTTACATTTTGATGGTTTGATTCTGACACCAAAATATCTGAATTTTTAAACAGTTAAATCTATTGCTCAGTCATTTTTCTTTACAATTTCTTTTCTAAACTTACCAAGTCTTTCCCTTTCAGAAGATTGACAAATATTCAGAATATTGATAAATATCACTAAAGTGTATTTTTAATGGACAAATTATCCCTAGCCTAGCCTTCTCACTGGAATGTAGAGGCTCCTCCTCGCTTTTCAAGGCAGGAAGTCAAAGGAGGGAAGACTGGTTTGATGAGAATAGCAGCACATTCTGGACTAGACTGACTTCCCAGGGCCCCAGGCTATGTAGAAGTGCTTCTTGATAGAGACCGAAAGGATGAATGGCTTCTAACAGGGCTGCCAACAGCCCCTTCTTCCCAAATCCTGGCAACAGCACCAATTTCACCCTGCCTTTGGAAGAACACATGGACCCACCCTCAGTCCCAGTCCCCACTTTCTCAGTCTGTTCAATAATCCAGTCAACTGCCATAGTCACACAAGGATGCTATTACTGCCTTAAAAATATAACAGTCCCTGAAAATCTCTCTCACTTTCCCATTATCACTTACCCATATCGATGACGACCTACATCACGGATGAGCCTCTCGGAGAGGTAGGCGCCAATACGATCTAGCTTTTCTGGAGCTGAGAGGGCATAGAAGGTCAGCTTCTCCATGTTGGTTTTCACCAGGCCATCCTGCAAAGGACAGAGCTTTCATGAACATAGTGGCTATACCATGGCTGGAAGGGTTCAAGTCTAAAGGTAAATCGCAACACAATTCAATTTAAACAATAATCAGCAAAGTGTCATTATGTATGCTACAGGCAACATGCAGGCTTCAGTGATACACAGATGATTATAGTTCCTGCCCTCCAGGAACTCACAACTAAGCGTGCTAGCTATAAATAAGAATAGTAAGTGAAATAAATGTATATATGTATGTATATATGGGTGCACATATGTACATGTATATATACATATATGTATGGGTGTAGGTATGTGCATGTGTATGAGTGAAGGACAAACTTTCATTGACTCAGAATTAAAATATGCTGGGTGTCCAGCACCCAGTCATGAAGAGGAAGCAGCAGCTCTGCAGCTCTTCGGGGAGTCTCCAAAGGACGCTAGAATGTGTCCCTCCAACTGCCTATCAAGAAGAGGTCACTGATTCCCAGAAAGCAGGTCAAGTTAGGAAATGTCAGATCCTGACATTTCCAAAACCACACAACCCATAACGTAGACTGGAGGTGAAGTGATGGCTTGGACGCCAAGAGGCCGGGCCTCCCAGGTGTGCACATCCGGACACTGGCAGATACCAGAGGGAGCAGTGGAGAAGACACGGGCTGCTCAGCTAAAGCACAAGAAGGGAAGTGCTTGCACCAGACAGCGGGGAAATAGTGCCATCAAGAGAGTCAGAGCTCTCTCACCCAGAGAGACATGAGTGAGAAAGACATCTCGGTTGGGCAGCAATGGCCAAAAGCATGCCAAAGCAAATTCCAGAGCCTCTGCAGATCTGGCTTCAGAGGGAGCCAACTCTCCTTGGGCTTCAGGCCCCTGACAGCCTCTGCCCGCTGCCTGGGGCCCTGGCCATGGTCTCCTCTTGTCTGAGCAGGTCTGGTGGCAGGGGCCTGGGACCTGCCTTCCCCTTACAGGAGCCCTCAGAGCCCTGGATGGGGTGAGATGGTGAGAAGGGATGCCAGCCGGAGATGTGACCCACCTCAGGATCCTCAGGGAAGATGTTGTCAACAAGCCTTTTGTACCTGGGGCGTAGGGCACCACAGCAACCACACACACCTGCAACAGTAATGAGAAAAACCGTGAACACAGCTCCCAGGTCAGGCAGAGGAGACCTGGGAAGCAGGCCATGGTGCCTTGTATCCCTCCCTTAGAGTGCCAGGGCCTCATCCTTCCCTGGTGTGGGCATCTTCCACTGTCTCCCCACATTCCCAAATGTTGGCCCTTCTCATGCCATGTCTTTTGACTGGGGGGTCAGGCAAGCAGCATACACAGGGGACGCCAGTAGACCAGCACTTGTTCCTGAAGCTAGGCCACAGAGGAGCACCTGAGGGGTGAGACTTTGGAATGGGGGCTCACACTAAAGTCAGGTGCTACCTTCACATATTCCACTGTTGTACACACATGTGCATGTGCACACACACACACACACACACACACACACACTCTGGAACAGGACTATCAAACTGCTTTCTGCAGCCCAAGAATCTCCCCCAGTGTCCTGGAAAGCTGGCTGCAGCTCGAAGGAGCTATCCTCCTGCCCCTCATTTGCTCCCTACTTCCTTTACGCTCTACCCCTCAATCTCTGCCATCCTCTCCCCTGGGGCCATTTCCATTATGGCATGTTACGTGAAACTATGATAAATTAACATTACCATTAATTATTAACATTTGAAAATGCACCGTTAATGCAACCAGACCATACTGTCTGAAGGCTGTAGTGTTTCAGAGTTGGGAAGGGCCTTAGGGGCCAGCCAGGCTGGGGTTCTCAAAGCCAGCCCCCACCAGGAGGTTTCCACCCATCTGTAGCAAAACAAAAACCTAAAACAATGTTGTACATTTTTAGAAAGCTGAATCTATTCCATTTATAAGACTGTCTGATATGACCTCTTCCGTCTTCTGATGTTGTGAAATGATGGTGTTAGGAAATCAATGATAATAAAATAAACCCTGGGAAAATAGAAAGTGGACAATTTTAGGTTCCACCATAAAAAGTTTTCAATTGGTGAAGGAAATCAAAACATCTGGAGGCCATTGCTCTTCAACCTCCCTCCTGATGCAGGGGTCCCTTTGCACACTCAGTGCCCCCCTCGCTGCCTGGCGGGGAAGTGGGCACACGCTCTGGAGGAGGGGATAGGGTAGCAGGGAAGGGCCTGGGAAGGTCTGCCCCACTCCCACCAATAATTGCCCCTTCATTCTGCTAATTAATGCTTAATTCTGCTTGTACAAACTCTACTTGAAATGCAAATGCACCCTGGAAGGTTCAAGCCAGTAGGTCATTCAGAAAATAATGAATCACTTTGGTGGAATTACTGTAGTCTCACAAAGAGCCTTACAGCAGCAAGAAAAGCGGCTCTCAGGGAGTTTGGATTGAGAGAGGGTGTGGGGCGCACAGCGCCAGGAGGAGAAAGGGGCAGCAATTTAAGCTCTAGGGGTGACTGGGTATGAGGGACTGGGAGGGTCGTTGGGGAAGCCAAGGGGCACCCTGAGGGAGGGCAGGATATCAGACCCTGCCCCACACAGAGCGCTGTGTGTCCCCAGCCTCCCACCAGATCGTGCACGGGGAGGGTGGTGGGACTAGTCCAAGGCTGCAGATGCAGGCCCTCCAGTTCAGGCTCAGGGTTGGCCTGGCATCTCCTCATCTCCCCTCTGCTACAGCCTAGGAGGTGCCAGGGCTCCAGCTGGCTGGCATCCAAGGTTATTTCTTCTGACAGGACAGCTTCTGAGGGTTGTATTCCACGTCTTGGGGCCTCAAAGCCCAGAATTTAAACCTGCCCTCCTTCCCCCTGAGGCCGCTCTGCCCTCCACGGTCAGCACACTTCTTCCCAAGACCCCAGCAAGATGTGTTCCGCGGTCTCTCGCAGCAGCTGCCCCCGTCACTGTCCCCGCACAGGAACACTGGCCTTTGTGTTCTGAGGCAGCGAGGAAGCAGAAACATGCGGAAGTTAGGACGAGCAGACTGCAGGGCCAGTCCCTTCCTCAGAGCTTTCTGAGGGGCCTGTGTGCGAGGCCTGCTCGGGACAGAGGCCAAGCCTGTGGTTGTTAGAAACCCAGGCTTGCAAGAAAGCACAGCCCCATTTTCTACCCATTCAGGGGAGCAACCTCTGTGCAGAGGCAGAAGCGGGGTCTTGCCTCTCCCAGGGGGGCTGGGAGCAGCTTCCCAGAGGCAGCAGGCCTGGAATGCCTGGTCTGGGGATGCTGGCTCGGTTTCTCCCCTGCCCGCCTCCTGCGTTCCTGTATTCTGGAAGAGATGCTCCTCAAGTCCCTGGGCCCCTCCCAGGAGTGCCCCACACCCAGCACACTAGGAGCCACGAGGTGGGTCCCCCAGTGGGAACCAGTCACATTTAGGGCCCCAGGGCATTTTCCCACCAGTCGGGCAGAGGTCAGAAGGCCAGAAGAACAGGAGATGGGAGCAGGCACCCCCTCATCAGCAGAGCTGACACTGCTTTTGGGGTGCTTCCTGACTTCTGCCCTGGTGTTTCCTTCCAGTCTGTTCTTTCCTTCCAGCCTCCTCAGACCCTCTGAGGGCAGGCAGAGTGGGCAGCAGTATGGGCTTCCGTGTCAAAGCCCGGCACTGCAGCTTCCTGGATGTGTGACTTCGAGCCAGCAACACCACTCTGTGTGTGTGAGTGTCCTGGGTGGACGGCACAGGGCTGCTGTGAGGCCAAGGCACTTCCAGCAGGGCCCAGCCCGGCAGCCCCCGGTGAAGGTTAGCCGGCAGCGTCCTCCAGCTGCGTTTCCCAGGCCCAGAACTGCGCCACCATAACTGCGAGCTGGTCAGAGCCAGCTGGCTGAGCTCAGTGGGGCTTTCTGGGCATCTGGAGGCCTGTGAAGGAATGTTCTTTCAGGAGATCAAACCTCACTGGTCTGGGGATCTGAAACGTGCCACTCTCCCAAGGCAGATCTATGCACATGCATGTAACAATAAATTGAGTTATTGAGATTCCATCTCTAGTCACTGCCCAGGCATCTCCCCAAAGCCGGCATCCCCAGACCTGCCTGCCTCGGCACCCACTCCCACACCCCAGTGCAGATGTGACACACCATGAACTCGCAACAGGCCAGAATCAATCACCGCTGAGACAGCAAGAGGGTCACAGGAGGGACTCCCCAGGACTGGTGTTGGAAGGCCACTAGCAGGACAGGTGCAGCAGGGGCAGAGGTGAACCTCACAGACTGGCAAGTACCCGGGATAGTAGGGCAGAGGCCCTGGAGAGCAGAGCTGCAGCCCTCAGCTGTGTTCCATGAAACACTAGTTGTGTGACCCAATGAGCATTCCTCAGAGAAAGGGTCTAAGGCCAAATAAATATATGAGACCCTGCAGATCAAATCCCCATATTTCAGATTCACAATGAAAATTAGCATATTAAAGCCTCTGAAGTTATAAGGTAAAGAAATCTATTTAAATTTGTTCAAACCAATATCTCCTTTCTCATTTTTCACTATTACATATATTGATATGATGAACACTCTTAATATTCTTTTCCCAAGGCATACTTATTGCCTACCAAAAGGAAAAAAGAAAGGTGTTTAACACCGTAGTGACTCAGAAACAATGCTTATTTTAGAGTTTAAAAATACTGGGTTTAAGTCCTGGTTTTGTTCTTTTGACCATTTAGTTCAAGTTCTGGTTCTGCTAGTTGGTCTTTGAGATTCAGTTTCCTCATCCATACAGTAAGAGGAAAAGATTTTCCCTAAGATACAATTCTGTGATTGCAGTCCCAGAATTTGCAAACCATCTAGAAAGGGAGAAGTCACCTTGAGCTCTGATGGTCAGGGGACGGCTTCTCAAAAGTGGAGAGACAAGAAGTGGGGTAGGATTCAGAGAGGTGAAAAAGACAGCAGGTGCTTTATTCCTTACACACCAGGCACAGCGTGCAAAATACTTCACAAGCACCAACTCATTCAACCCTTACAACAACCCCTTGGGGTAGGTACTATTTTTATCCTCATTTTACAGATGTGGAAACTGAGGCAACAAAAGGCAAGTTACCTGCCTAGAGCCACACAGCTGATAAGTGGAAGATGTGGATTTGAACCCATGAAAATTTACCTCCAGAGGCCATGATGTTCTGAATTACTCTACCAGGAAGGGTGGGCCATGGAACTAAGAAAGCCAGAGGCTCATACAGAAAGAGAAGGACTCCTGGCAGTGCATCCTCAAGGAACCTGGATATGTCACCCTCAAAATATACCCCTTTGAAGTAAAAATTACTTTGAGCTCAAGGCAATTAAGAAGAAGCAAATACAGAGAAAGCCCCCCCCCCCAACTTTTTCTGCCTAAACGCAGGAAATAAATTCGCCTTTTACTGGAGGCAGACTCTTACAGCCCAGAGAAGACTCCAGAAGAATCTGCAAACAAACCTTGTTGACCTAACCCTTATCTTCCCACTTAACTTCTTCACCATTCACCACCCACCCCCAAACCGGCCCAAACTCCTTTGTCTTGTCAATTCTTCACAAATTCATTTCTTCATCTAAAAGATATAAAAGCTTCCTGCTCTGGTCAAGTCTCCAGGCTTGTTTCTCTTGTAAAGGCTCCCATGCTCATGTAAAACTTCAGTAAAATCTGTAAGCTTTTCTCCTGTTTGTCAGTTTAATTTTCAGACCGGCCAGCGACCCTCAGTGGGTGGAGGAAAACTTTTTCCTCCCCTATAATCTCGACTTGTAAAGTGCACACAAGTCATCCAGGGAACTTATTAAAATGCAGATTCTGGTTCTGCAGGTGAGGGGCGGAGCCTGCGGCTCTGCCTGCCCACCAGACTCCCAGGTAATGCTGGTGCCCTGGTCCAGGGACCACACTTTGAGTTTGCAAGGCACCAGGACACAGTGGCTAAGAACTTGGGCTCTGGGGTCAGATAGGCTTTAGACTGAAATGCCAGCTCTTCCCATTTCTTTCTGTTTGACCTAGAATAAGTAATCCAAGTTTCCTCACATGAAAAATGAAGATGACATGGTTCTTTCCAGGAGGCTGTGGCGAGGATTAAATGATAACGCATCCCACTGCCTCCTCTTTTCTTTCCCAACCCCTTAAAGGAAAGACAAGGAAGATCAGGCTG